AATCCCTATATTTCTTCGCACCAAGGTTGTGCTTTGAGGGCTTTCTGTGGTATATCGACTCTATAGGGTTTAAAGTGGATAGAAATAGAATTTCCGATAAATTGTTGTGACACCGGCAAGTGTACACACCACATCTCTTCAGAAAATAGGCTTTATTGTATGTAGGAAACCACAGGTCATGGTCATGGAGTGCTTTCCAAATCACGANAACACGGGAAAATCGTAGATAACTGGGATAGCAAAAACATTTTTGTGTGTTTGACCGTACACTTTTTCATATATTTTGTGTTGTTTGTTGTTTTTACAGGGCACGGAATTTCGACAGGCAGACCGTACAGCATTCGCGCCACTGACTTCTATTCTGGACCATATCTCTCAACGTATCTAACCAACGACAATCTTCATCCCTTGGGCTCCAACCTGGAAGGCGGGCTGTACCAACCGAAGCCAAAGTTGAAGCCAGCTTCTTCATACCTCTACACCATGTCATGGTCTGACCGCCCCGCCGCTTCTTCCAGCCTTGCCCGGCATGTGCAAAGAGAGCACGGAAAGGTAGTCGATGGGCAGACATACGCAATACGTGATCAAGCCATCAGAGGCGGTGTAGCGCGATTACTTCTGTTAGAGAACGACTATCCGCACCCAGCACACAACGAAGAACCTCGTCATTGCCCACCTGGTGTTCCCACCAGACACGAGCAATGCTTCAGAGAAATCGGTGGTCGAATACAAAAAGTCGATTAGCATCCTCAACGCGAACGGGTCATTTTTCCCAAGATTGAGGTATATCGAGATAGCTTTTCGGTAAAGCTTGAATTGAGAAACATTCTGTCATACAGACATGCACACTAAAAACAATGTCCTCTTTGTACCAGTTATCACCAACTGCAACACATTGTACGGATTCGTTCTGAGCAGAATTCACGACCACGGACAAATTTTCAATCACGTAGTTTCCGCTCCCCGCGCAACACCCTAGATCTGAGATGACTAATTCAGAATAAAACACTTCCAAATCTGGTCACAGTTATTTTACCAGGAAAAGATTTTTCACGAATGTAGCCGGCGGCTTGTATGACGGTTAGAATAGCAATCAACTGAGCGAAAACACTCAGTTGCACAATTTACAAAGCTACATTGCACAATGCTCTGCAGACTGATTTGTACGCTAGCAGGTTATAAACCCGAAGAGCGGGCTCAACCAACCATTTCTATATCTCATGACTAACGATTCAGGTGGCTTGCATTCAACAGAAAACGAAGGGATTAAAAACGATCAGGTTGGATAAATTTGGCAAACTTACAACAACAAACGCTGATGATCGATTAGATCCACCGCAGGCAATCGACAGGCGGAGAACAAAATCACTTTTCGACCCAATTTGTCATCTCCCGCCACTTGTAGGATACTCAAACGAGAGATGTCCGGATAGTCTGAGTCAATCACATCTTGGACGCTCAGTTCCTGTGAACAGGGATCGCAGGATTGCATGAGTATAGAAAAAAATACAGAAATCGATGTTGTTCGAGCACAATGAGATAGCACAGAGCTTTCCAAGTATCATTCACACCTAGTACACAACGGTGACCATAAAAAGTATGGTCACAAGAAAAGAAAAATACATCCCCAGTTTCAAAACAGAGGATGGAGGTATTGGGAATGGAATCACATGCGCTTACATATAAGGTTGAACCAATCAGATTGTCTCTGTCCGGTTTGCGAAACAAAAATCTTGTAAGGACCAATCATAGAAACACAACTGATGCAGTAAAACAAACGATCAGTCCAAACAACACTTTCCAACACAGTGGTGCTATTGCAATTACTCATTATCCTTGCAACCTTAGTGCTTGTCAATTTTCTCTTTTCTCCTTCACTCTGCCCTCAACAATTCATACTTTCTGCTCTTTTATCCAACTGAGCAGCTTAAAGACAGCACCCAAAACCGGCGCACAAGTGCGCATGGTTGTAAAATTTGACCGACTGAAACTGCACGTCACACAGCACAAAGTTTTCTTTCATACTTAAAGCTAGAATATTGTATTGTTTACCATTTCGATCAGGCGATTACCACAGAGGTTATATAACCAAGAGTCAATCAATATGCGTATTCTTAGGTGGTCGATAAGTGCGACCTTTCAGCTCCACTAAATCATCATCAGCATCATCGAACAGTGAGATATAGTGATCGCTGATCGCTGCCAAGCTCACAAAGTACACAAATTAATATGGACAGGTTTCGGATGCGACCAGTTTTCCAACCTACGCGTCAAAATCACCTGACAGCACCATAATATAAGAGCTGCGGCTCAACCGAATTAGTTCGGCAAGTTTGTCGTAAAATTCGTCCTTTTGTGAAATGGGACTGCAGTTGGTTGGTACATATGCGGAAATGATGAACAAACACTTTTTGGTGTTGCTGCCCTTCCGAACACTAACTGAACCCCCGAACCTCATTGCGCACAAAACGACTATTGTCGGATATCCAATCTATCAGTGAGGCGTTAGCTTTATCTTTTAGTATCATTCCTAGACCACGTTGTCCCAGTGAGCGGGCTGCGTTGTCTCCTGATGTACAAAGGAAATACCCCGAGGACAACCCCGGCGAACTAAGGTGGCTTATGATACTAGGATCCTGAATTCGTGTCTCCGATACGCAACAGACGTCAACATCTAAAGACCCCATTGTATGCGCTAGATACGCTTGTTGACCCAACTGCATAAGAGTCCTCACGTTGAAAGCCCCCAGATTCAGAGATTGACAAGGCTTCAAAATCTACACTTTATTTGCAGGCAAACTATTTAGTGCTACTTGGCAGTGACCTTTGGTGAGTGATGAACAAGTTGTCTGAGGGAATGTTACGGGTCGGAAGAAGTGGTAAAGCGAGAGGGGTGGGTAGGAAAGACAAAGAGGTAAACAAAGGTTGGGATGTCTGAGCAATAGTCCACTTATCCCTACCCACCCCGATTGATGCAATGCGCAGCGCGGTCCTAATTATCCTGCGCGACGACCGATGCAGTATGAAATTATTTTTAGTTTGTGTTCTTTGGAGCTTTATGGACGATGACTGCCAGGAAGTCCAACCACTAAGCAGGAGAACGATTAGGGTTCTTAACCAAAGCCTTGAGTTCTGACAAGAACCTAACCGCAAGGAAGCGGTTAAGGCGGGTTGGAAGCCCAATAAATTGGATCACTTACTCCTCCATCGCTTTTTACCGATTGAGATGCCAACTCAAGTCGAACCCCCAATCTGGAGGAGCAGGAGGATGGATTTTATCAGACCTCTACCTATTGACCTTCCAGGCATGGCAAAAGCCATCCTGTGTAGCTCTTTGGGTCAGGGAGGTGCACAAGCCATCAGACCACGTCACGGTGCAGTTTCAGTGATGGATCCACTAAAAGGGTAAGATGACGGTGGTTGTAGACCTTAACGAGTGCTTGTCATCATCGTAGTGATTCAGTTGCTGTCACCGATATGCTTTGAACCGTAGGGTCCGAGGTTCCAACCCCGCCACTGTCATTCAACTTTGGGGGTAGGCAGCTTTGTTGTCTTCCAGTTCAATATCACGTCTGGCCTATAGAGGGCTTATGTGGTTCACAACTCCAAGCCCTGCGGGGCTAAGGTTACCGGTTTCGATCACTGAAAAGCAGGTCCTCGAGACAATGGGATTTCCCCCGTCTGTTATTCACCACACTAAGGTGTGTTATAAAATAAACCTCGACGAAAAATATCATCACCATGCGGATGCAGTGAACAAGGCTTCATTGACAGAGGAACGAGAGCAGTTCATGGTAACTTCGGAATAATGTGTCACGTTTAACAAAACAATACCAACCCGTTGAATAATCCGCGGGTGGTTCCTTGTAATTCAATCGAATACAATGAAAACGAGAAAGTGAATTAGTCAGAATCCGGATGGTTGCGTGTCGTTTTCAGGTTTTCACAACGTACAAATACCTGATCTAATCTTCAAAAAAAATAAGAACTCGGTTATTATTAGCATGTCGCATGAAACTAATCGATTGATAGCACCGACCGAACCAGTTATTACAATGTGAGCGCCCGTACAATGCAATATAGCATGCACGGTTTATTTTACACTGTAATTGCGAGGTTTCCAAGGAAGTACGCATACATCATGGAATTAACGCTTTCTACTTCAAGTAATCGCAGAAACAGATTGCGAATAGCAAAACGAGGATTGATTGCAATTACCACTCGTGAAACCAGAAACGTAATTGATACGGCTATTTTACGTACTGTACTGATGTCATTTTCCATTTCATGAGGCATTTGAATATCACTTATTTACCATAGGAATAAATAAGAGGATACTAAAAGCAAGTGCATGGGAGACAGAACAGCATATTACAATTGGGTTTCCCGAGAGCGGTTGAGTGAATTGTGGATTGCAACATGACAGTCTAGTAGTCTTATCAATGCAACCGATTTTAAAGGTTTGCACATGTGAACTTTCAGTCAGAGCATGGACCAATCAGTGTTTACCGCATTCCACCCATTAACCTTATTGGTAAACATGGCACGTTGACGAGGACGATCGATGAATCTGTACAGAACATAACTCAGCCACCGGAGCATACGGCGATTTACCTAGTACTACTGATCAACCTAGCAAAAGGAATTTACTTTGATTCAAACTTACGCTAACTTCGGGATTGATAAGGGAACCACTTACTCGGGCAGCAAGTCCCAGTTCTTCCTCGAAATCTTCATCTATGAGACCGTCAGTATTCATTCGATCTCCGCTAAAACTTTGCACATCGGGAGATAAATCTGCAAGACAATAAGGGTTTAGAACGTACAGTTTATTGAACAGGAAAACAGTTTACACCGTTGGAATGTAACCATAACAAGAGAAATTGTACACATTGGCAGTTGACAGTGAGGAAGTGAAGCCGATTTTTTTTGATACGATTTTGATACGACTTGTACGGTGCTTAGGCCTAGAATCACATATAGTGCGAGGAGAGAGAGAGAGAGAGAGAGAGAGAGATGCGACGCGATGCGATGCGATGCGATGCAGAGCTAGGCGGCAACAGAGATGCCTACATAAAAAACAAGTCTCAGAGAACAAGTAAAGGTGATGTGATCAGAAATTGGAAAAAAAATGTAAGACGATGAGTGTACTCGAGACGCCATAGATACTGCCCGGTAGACAAACTGTTTTGTCTCCCAGAGTTCCAAAACATAATAATGGAAACTCATGGCGCTTTTTATGATCAAGCTTTCGTGAGCTATTTACAGATAGATAACTCGCAAGTAGAAAGCACCCATCTGGTAAAATTGAACTCAATCGTATAGGTAAGAGAATGATGTATCTATGGATATGCGTTATTGATCTTCACTGATAATTCGATATGCTACTAGACAAACTGCACGTAGATCCATTGGATCCCATCAATTATTTATTGCACTATCAAGCTCTTTTAGGCGTCGAACTGTCCATTGAGGACGGGTAATTTTGCATGACATATCCGATTGGGAAATCCAAAACTAAACTGAAGATGAGCATAATTTCCCTCGCTTTTGAGTGCAGTGAACAAGTTCTCAACCAGGCAGATATGGGGTTTGCTACGCGGTAATGATGTAAATTCGAAAGCGCAATTATCCGTGGTTTTGGAGATGAAATATCAAATAGTTATTAGGTCATTGCAAAACAAACCTCGCGCGAAACACACGCTGTATTTTCCTACAATATAATCCACTATCCAGAACTGCTTTATGAAAGCATTTGTAAAACATAATTTTACGGTTGTTGTTTTTTGGAAAATTCACGATAGCTGTAACCTTTCTGTAATATTTCGACATGACTATGCATACCTGATTGGAGTCCTGCTACCAGGTGAGTTGGACACGTTCGTTTTGCTGTCGGAGGTAATACCCACTTCGTAAACTGTTCATTGTAGCCATATCGAACGACGCGTACTCTAGACCCCGTAAAAAGGTGCGAAGCTTGAGAAATTGAGCCGTAAAAGTACACATTTCCATGTACAACTACACATTTCAACATGAGGACAGAAGATTTTATAGTATCTTCGTTATCTTTCCCGCCCAAATATAAGACATTCCGCAAAAGTGAGCTCTAATGCGTCCGGGGGATACCGAGGCACACCAGTACCCACATTATATGTGTACCAATCGGTGCACGTGTTTGATACTGTGAATACCTTTGACTCATACGGACTAGGACCCTTAACTATGGTCAATACCGGACGAATGACCGCATTAAAGGCGCACAATTCAATTATAAGAAGTTGCAGGGGAACTTTACTTGTCTACTTGGATTTCTTCTCTGGTCTGGTTAAAACCATCTATTAAGTTTACTGGTTCTTTAGTTAGCTCCATTGGTTGAGCCGAATGATTGGTCCTGAATGAAAACATCTCCGTCTTCTTAGTTTATTTCCGTTCAGATCGTCTTAGTGTTGGATAAAAAGACTATTTTTACCTCAAACTGCCTATTTTTCGAGTATTTTCAATTAGGGGCACCTCGAATCAATACTAATCTCGCGGAGATTAATCAATGATATTGCGTCATACGGAAATATTCACTCTGTCCGTCTGATCCGTGACTTATGACCGATTGAACTTTGCTAACTGTGTACTTGATTGGCACAATCTTTTTTCTTGCATTAATCGCTGTGCACTAAATGTGTTCCTGCTACGTAGCTGGGAGAAGGCTACTAGTGCTCGTGGCGTCCAATCTGTGCTGTAATCGTACTCGTGGGGCTAGACGACTAGTGTGACCGTTGAGGTACATGTGTTCCTTGTATGTCATCCTGTGATATCTTGTTGTGTGCATTGTGATCAATTGGGATTCGGACACAACAGATAGAATGCAATGCATATGCTGGTCGGCAGGAGTCTCTCCCAGAACAGCAACGCGATCCACAAACACGAGGATTGAGACATACACACCATGAATAACCTGCATGTCGGTGCATTATCATGTACATGGTGTAACTGAGCGGTATCGGTGGCCAGAAGTATTCTTCAAAGTGAATCATGGTGCTTTTCTTTTACGTGCGCGATATGAGTTCTTGAGTCTGACGGGAAGGAAAGTCTGGAGTTGTTTCCCGACTTCGTAGTCTCTCAACTAGTGTTGTTTGTGATTGCCTTTGACCGAGCTTAAAGCTGTTTGATTCACCAAAGAGTGATTCAAACCGTCCTCCTTGGTATTTTCTGATGATGGAAACATATGCGGTCATTGTACAGCTTTACTACCGTGCGTGATTTCCAGTAGGACCAGTCTTACTCTAATCGTACTTCGAACAAGCAAATGCCGCCCATTTCAAGGGGGTACATTATGTGCATGTTTCTGTGGTCACCATAAATATCTTTACTTTCCTGCGATTGGCTCCTTGGAAACGACAAGCCGGCTCCAGACATGATCATGATCAAGATCATGGAGTTCCTTGGGAGTTTGGTACGAGAGATGTCCCCAGCGTCACTCGGCGTTTTTCTATTTTGAGGGCAAAATTCTAGCCTTTGCACAACCAAGTGTGAAATGCAAGGCAGCAAGAAGTAATCCCTCGCCTCGGAAGTGAGGGGGTCAATGACTTTGGTTTTAAAAGGTCGGTCATATCGACCTTTGTCACGACAGCGTCATTGGGCTTGTGCGGCTATTAAACGGGAGTCAGGTGACCAGCCTGAAACCCATTATACCCCGGTAGTGCCACCGCTGTTTGTTCGCGACTGCTTCATTTTTTTCAGTAGGCCACAACTTATTCATAGCTAACCTTATTCGGTGAACGTATCCCCTTATCCGCAACCCGGGGACGCGCCTGGTAGCATTCAGCTCTGCTTAACCCGAGGGTATCTAGGACCACCAATATCAAGTATTTTTTCAACTACCAGCAGCAAATGTTATTCAAATTATCGACTTCTGGTTTAACCGCCAACGTTTTTAAATCATTGCTCACTAGTAATATGTTTTACTTGAACGTATAAAAGCCCGTACGAAAGATGTACTCCATGACGGTTCGAGAGCATAGCTCAGAAAGTGGCATCTCCAAAGCCAATGGTGTATTTTGTTCGGAAAAGCAACATGAGTCTTCGCAAAAGTAAGTGGTTCTAACATACTAGATAGATTTCAGAGATACATCGATCTTTCTAATGAGGTTAAAGAAAGTATGTATCCCAATGTAATAACGATGTGAAATACTCAGTTTTGGTTGTGAAACCTTGTACCTTCATGAAGGTTAAGATTCTGGTTGAGCGGTCATACTAAGCAGTTTACTGGGGTCTGGTCTTTGTCAGTCACGCAGTTCTGTGATCCGAACACGTGGTAGCTGAGTACAAGGTGCGGGCAAATCAAAATGAATGCTCGCAAGCAGTATGGATTTAATCGTCAGAAGTACTACTCGTCCCCGACAGGTTAGAGAAACCTAAGAATGAGCTGAAGACACATACATACAACATAAATACGCACAGCTAACCCATACATGCTATTAAAATAGTGAACTTGTTACAGCATTTTCCACAACCTTACTCAACAGATCGTCCATACTAATTTGTAGAACCACGGTTTTCGTCGTTTCATAGACATACAACGACAGTAAAACACCGAGGATAAGTTCGTTCTTTTCTGTTTGAGGTTTCTCAGTAAACATAATAAACAAACTAGGAAAACAACACTTACAAATTTCAGCATAACACAAACATTCCATAACAGCTACTATGATCAGACCACAGCTCCGTGACTTCGGTGAGAGAACGTTCGGCAACAAACATGAAATGGGCGTGAACTAACTCACCTTTACCCCCCGCCAACTCTAAACTAAACTCATCGAATTCCATTTCGGGAACCTCAAAATCCATATAATAGGATTTGTTTTGCAAATCATGCAGATGAAGGTCGTTCGCATCAAAATTGGGGCTATCTTCTGATGTGGGGGATACTGGATTATCCTGAGAAACAATGCGCCAAGCAGGTTTCGTTCGTTTCTGGGTTTCCTCTTTCATATCACCAATAGCATCCACTTTTGATCCTAAAACATCGTCCAAATCCTCCAGGAAAGATGTTCTGTGTGTTACCGGTAGGTCCGGTTCCACCACCGTACTAGATACGGACGGGTCAGACTCCATTGGACGTTTGTGAACTGTAAACAAAAGGGCTTTTAAGGACCAGCAAACATGATCAGAAAAAAGACTCAAATGAAAAGAGGATAGCTATTGATTTCATTTATATTTACAACACAGAGGACAAGGTATTTCGCACCAAGATAAGACGGTCAATTGCATGATACAAATCGAGGCTGTCCGCGTACGTGTTCCCCTCGTAGGGTAAACCAGCAGATATCTGGTTCAAATAATTGATATGTGCGTTCATTTCGGATTCAACTTCTTTGACAACCGTGTGGAAATTGTGAGTATGTCCTTCCACTTGCTTAACAATTGGTCTATCCTTGGAAAGCTCTTCCAAAGCATTTCCCGCATGTTGCATGATCAGCATGATTTTTCGTTCCACATCCTCCAAACGAGATAGTCTACCCTCAAGAGCAGATGACTGAATGTCCTTCGTAGCACTGCTCATTTAACTGAGCTTTATTGTGAGATGAGAACAGAAATGGATTGTATCCAGTAGGATCGAATTTGGGGTATTCGGTAATGCTACAAACGAAAATTGCAGGAAAACATTACGTGCATCAAACGACTAATTCGATAAATCCAAACGACCTAAATAGCTCTCATTCGGTTATGATCGGAGAAGTTCGCTTTACTATGTTTGGCTCTACGACGACAATGATGATCATGATGATTATATGTCTCGCACACCGTCACGATTTGAGTGATGAACAGCAGATAGAGTAAACGCCACAGCCTATTCATTTATGGAAACCGGCAATCGAATCCGCGGGACTTGGAGTGGTGAACCACACAAGTCCATGCTAGGTCAGACGTGGTACCAAGTCGGATGATAACGAAGCAGTTTACCACCAAAGTTGGGTAATTGAGGCGAGGTTCTAACCTGGGATCATAGGGATTAAGGAACGTCGGTGACAGTGACTGAAACCGATTCACCACCACACATCGAAATTTTCAAGGGTTCTACCCAAGGCAGCTCGTTTATCTATCTAAAGGGGTGTGCGCACATTGAATGCGGCTAAGTGGAGAGGAAATTTTAGTTAAATTGATCCAATTGCGTCTGACTGCTTTATCTCGTTGTTTAAACGTTGAATGACATTTCCTGGATGGAGGAAACGAGAGGCAACTCGTATGACCTAGAAGTGAGAGGTACAACTAGACAGATGAGTGCGAGACTTTGGGGCACGTGGTAGAGCCCACATCAACGA